GAAGTTAGAACACGCCCCTCTGCATGGGCAGCATCTCCTACGTCCATCCTAACGGTTGATGACAAATGCACTGAGGCTTTGGAACGGCCACACCAACAGTTTATGCTTTTACCCACATCATTTGGCTTAACCAGGAGACCTTACAACAGTGGTCCCCAATGCGGTGCCCACAGGGGTCTGTTTTGGAAGCAGTTCTATTCAAAAATCTTCATCGATGATTTAGATATTGGCAGAGAGAGGAAATTTACTAAGTTTGCAGATGACACCAAGCTGGGAGGGGTTGCAAGTGCTTTAGAAGATACAGTCATAATTCAAAATGATCTGGACAAACTAGAGAACTGGTCTGATGTTAATAGGATGAAGTTTAATAAGGACAAATGCAAAGTACGCCACTTAGGAAGGTACGATCAGTTTCACACACACAGAATGGGAAGTGACTGTCTAGGAAGGAGTCCTGCAGAAAGGGATCTGGGGATCATAGTGGAACACAAGCTAAATATGAGTCAACAGTGAGAAGCTGTTGCAAAAAAGAGCAAACAGCAAACATGATTCTGTGCTGCATTAACAGGAGCGTTGTGAGCAACACACACAAAGTCATTCTTCCGCTCTGCTCTGCACTGGTTAGGCCTTAACTGGAGTCGTGTGTCCAGTTCTGGGCACCACATTTCAAGAAAGATGTGGAAAAATTGTAGAAGGTCCAGAGAAGAGCAGCAAGAATGATTAAAGGTTTAGAGAACATGAGCTAGGAGGGGAGACTGAAAGAATTGGGCTTGTTTAGTTTGGAAAGGAGAAGACTAAGAGGGGACATGAGAGCGGTTTTCAAGTATCTAAAAGGGTGTTACAAGGAGGAGGGAGAAAAATAGTTCTTCTTGGCCTCTGAGGACAGGACAAGAAGCAATGGGCTTAAGTTGCAGCCAGGGAGGTTTAGGCTGGTCATTAGGAGAAACTTCCTACCTGTCAGGGTGGTTAAACACTGGAATAAGTTGCCTGGGGGGATTGTGGAATCTCCATCTCCAGAGATATTTAAGAGCAGGTTGAACACACACCTGTCAGGGATGGTCTAGATGGTGCTTGGTCCTGCCGTGAGGGCCGGGGACTGGACTTGATCACCTCCCGAGGGCCCTTGCAGTCCTAGTGTTCCATGATTCTATCATTTCCTTTTCTAAAGCCTCCTTCGGTCAGGGTTGGATCCATCTTCTGGAGCTGAAATAACGTTGTCCAACAATGAGACTGCAAGCTTCTTCCTGGGCACGCCTATAGCACTCAGGTAAGCGTGACTCTGCTTTGGGTTCCCACTCATTTCTACTGAAGAAGGTTTTTCGTCTTCAGCCGGTGGGTTCCTCACAGGGGGATCCGAAAGGCTGGGCGATTACTTTGGATTTTTTCCCTTCTCCTGCAGAGTCAGCTTAGAATCCGACTGGAGGCAAAGCCGCTCCGAAGCTTTGCCAGACTCCGCTCCCCTCCCCGAGGAATGGCCGGCGCTGCCAAGCTGCTCAGAGAGACGGGAGGAACGAGGCTTGCACGGACTTGAGCAGTCCCACCTTCCAGAACGCGGGAAGAGTCGGAAGATGGCTCATCACAGAGTCCAAGGCGGGAGTTCCGCTCCGACTGTTATTCACTCCACAGAGAGACTGACTCACCCGAGCGCGCTGAGACCGGGCCCATAACACTGGTCAACATCTTTCCCATTGTCCTACCCCGGGGGGAGGGGGAAACTCTTTTGGATCGGGGCCGCACACAACAGAGAAGCAAACGAGTCCCTCGCTGCCGCGGCTCCCGACTGAGGAGGGACACTCCCCACATTCCCTCGCACGCCAGAGCCGAGCGGGGCCCAGGCCGGTACATGTTGTGTGCTCCACCCAGTGCGGGAACAGCGGGGGAGGGGAGGCTGGCTCCCCAATGCTGGGACGGAGCCTTAGGGACCGGATCCAGGCAAGCTGGAGGCTACATCCGGCCCCTGGGCCTTAAGTTCCCCACCCTTGTCCTACACCATCCCCAGTAAGGCCAGCGTCCGTAACAGCAGCTCTTAGCTGGATGCTTTCAGACGAGGACCACAGGAAACGTGGCCATTTTACAGAGGAGGAACTAAGTTGCAGCGACTTGCCCCAAACCACACTGCAAGTCAGCAGCGGGGCTGGGAACAGAGCCCAGGAGCTCTGACTCTGCGCCTCGTCCAGCAGCTTGTACCAAGTTTCCTGTCCGACAGCTGAGAGGTAGCACGTGCCGCCTGTCACGCCCGAAGCAGTCCGTCACGGGAGCGGGAGGAATGCGACTACTGCTGGCTACATACAGCATGTGGGGACGGAGGGGAGGGCTGCACTATCCGGCGGCACTGAACAACCCTCGTTATCCGCTGAGATCCCCAAGGGCGGCGGTATTAGGGGAGACGCAGAATTAGGCCACGTCTACACTAGCACTTTGGCCAGTATAACACATGGAAAAACGCAACCGGAGCAATACAGAGGGACAGTGACAGAAGCCCCAGTGCTGGGTGGGGGGAGAAAGCCGCTGTCCCGCTGACAGACCCACTGTCAATGTGAGATCTCCTGCCTGTCAGCAAACAGCGATGCCGTAGCGGTACAGGTGCCCTGGTACGGATGTGCCATGGGAAGGCGTCTGGCACAGCCGCAGCCGCGGAGGTAAGAGGGTTGCGAATAAGTCTTTCAACTGTGCTAATACAGCCGCAGCTGATCAGACAGGCACGCAACAGAGGCAAAAGAGTTTCTCGTACTGACTGTAAAGGTGCTGCCAATCAGAGCCCATGCGAACAGGTTCAGTAGCCTGAAAACATGACGCAAGGAGATTTCCCTGCAGACAGGCCGGCCCAGCGTGCTGCCTGAATCGCAGGAGCTGGTCACAGGGTATTTCAACGTTAGCCGTGTGGTTTCACAGGAAAGGGGTGTAAGTAGGGACTTCCTTTGCTTGGGCTTCTGAGGTTCTCACGCTTGTAGAAGATAAACAGGGGGTTACTAGCCCAACCAACCATGTCACAAAGTAACCTACTCAAGGCCTGGATTGGGATGGGAAGGGTTTGTCGGCAAGGTGTAGTAGCTTCTCAGCATGACTGACACGGAGGCCATGCCAAATTCACCAAGGCACAGAGTCACCCAGTGACCAGCACAAGGCATGAGCCTTCAGCACTCCCGTGTGCCCCACCCAACTGCCACCAGCTTGCTGTGGGCCCTTGGGCATGACACTTAGCTTTTCTCTGCCTCAGTTCCCCACTTGGAAAACAGTAACCCACCAGCTCTTAGCCTCAGTCATTAAACCTCTCCCCCTTAGAAGGCAGCTGTAGAGCAGGGGTGGGCAGCAATGTTCACAGGACGAGCCCCCCAAGAATTTGGTAAGTGGCTGTGGGCCGCACTTTTCTATTTCATTGTCGTTCAGCGGTGTTAACAAAAACACACCAAACCCCTGAAAGACGGACAGTTTGCCGCAACAAGTGCCAGCACGAACAGCGCGTTGCCGGCGCCCTTCTGTCGACAGCACGAATGGCGCTCGTTGGGGGAGGAAGCATTTTTTCCATAAAAGAGCTGACAAACAGCAGCTCCACTGCTTGACTTTTATCGACATGGCTGTAGTGACCAGGGATGTTACAATGCGTTTAAGTAACTGAGTAACTGCTGAAAATGTCAGTGGTTACCCGAGTGGGGGGAGCAGTCGGCTGTTAAGCCAGTTCCCCACACGTACCAGGAGCCTGCGTGTAACCAGGACAGTTAACTGACGAGCTGGTGAACCCAGGCTCATCGATGAACTGTGCGCACAGTTACACTTTCGCATCCCTAGTCGTGACGCCGCCGTGTCACTAAAACCTCTGTGCTGCAGACAAAGCCTAAGAAAGGAGGAAACTGATTTAGTGGAACAGAGAAAAAGAAAAAAAATAAAATAAAACCCACAGGGCCATCGAAAAAGGAAGAAAAAGAATCCCTGAGCTGCAGGCTAAAATGTGGCGTCTGACTGAACATGCCTCTGGGACACCCATCCGACGACTGATGGACAATCGGACAGGCCTGGCGCACACACAACACCTCTCTCCACAGCCAGAGCATCAGCACGCTGGAAAGCACCATTTTGAACACTCGTCTCCCCAGGCTGAAGGGCTCAGGCCTTCTGGGACCCAGGGAGACGGCCACTCCTCAGCACCAAGCCTTGTGCAGCAGGGAGAGAAACAAGGCCGAGTTCCCGCGGGCAAATCCCTGCCTCTCTGTGCCTCCGTTCTCACAATGGGGACAACAGCACCCGCCTGCGCAGAGGCATGAAAAGGGATGGAGAAATGCCTAGTGTGTTGCAGAGACAGAAATTAACGACTGTGAGGCACCCAGGTACTGCGGTAACGGGGCCATATACCTAACGATTCCATGGAGGGGAAAGACTTTGCACCTGCCGCTCCGGGAACCACCAGCCCTAGAGGTGTTAAGTCCTGGCTTGACAAAGCCCTGGTTGGGATGATTGAGTTGGGGTAGGGGGGGTGCGGGGGTGGGACTAGGTAACCTCCTGAGGTCTCTTCCAGCTCTGGGATTCTTTCGTTGGAGAACCCAGGAGAGGTGAATTGACAACCGAGACTCAATACGCTGGGGATTCCGATTAACCTTCCCAGAGATGGGGAAATGGAGGCAGAAAGATCTGCGGAAGGTCACAAGGCAAGTCCATATCAGAGCCCCTGACTGCTAGCCCTCTGCTCTGTCCACTGAGCCCCAGCCTCAGCACACAGCTCCCTTGAGAGGAGAGCGACCGAAAAGGACTCGGGGTGCTAGTTTGGTAACATTTTCCACACAAGTCTAGGGCACAAAGAGACAGCAAGGCAGGGGCCCGATGCAGGCACTCACCCCGTTCCCTGCCTCCTGCCTCCCATCTACCCCCCTCCTCCAGTTAGCCACAGAGCAGCTGATTTCAAACCACCACCTCCTGGCAGCCCACAAAGCGAAGGGTTACTCTGCTGGCGCTGAGGAAAGGCAGTGTAACGTTCTCAAGCCTTAGAGATGCCACCTTTGGTTTCTTACCTTTGATGGCGGTCTCCCCCCGTCTTCTGGTGCAGCCTGCCCGTTCTGCAAAAGGCAACGGAGAATCCACTGTTAGCAAAAGCCAGGCATCAGGAAAATGCCATTTTGGAAAGGGGCGTCCAAGTTGACCGGACGTGACTTGGGCACTTAGGGAAGGATGAATTTGGGTGGGCCGGATTTAGAAGCTACAGCACAGTTATGTCACTTACACATCAGAGAGATGCGGCAAGCTGGTAAAGAAGAGAGCCAACCAACCTGACGTTTCCACCCACCAGAAGAGAGACTGGTGTAAACAGCACCAATCTGGGACTCAGCCAAGTGTGCAAAGGGAGTGCACAGTGTGCACGCTGGCTCCGTGCACGCTGACTGGGGTGGGCACAGGTTAAAGGAGAGGCCAAGCCGAGTCAGCTTTTTTAGGCCCAGCTAGTAGCAGGAAAAGCCGCTCGCGGAGACGGAGGTGGGCATTTCAGTCAGTGCAAAGTTGTATCCCAGACGGAAGTTACAGTTTTATGTGGACACCCATTTTAAGATGGGCTCATGCTTGACTTCCTTGATGTCACTGCTGACACTGCCCCAGGGACGTATGCCCCAGCGCCGGGCTTGAGGCTGCAAGAAACGCTGCCTTGCCAGCCAAACATCTAGTGCTGGGACCTGCAGTGAAGTCACGATCGGGGACTTACTCCCATAACAACAAAGCACCCAAACTGCCCTGGGAGGGAAGGTGGGG